ACACGGGCCAGTACGCTTGCATGCCCATGGCAAATAAATCTTATTAGCTGGGGCAGTTTTCCCGGAATTTTCCAGTTACGCCTGATAAATGTATTCGATATTTGTCGCTCTCGCTGTTTGTCTGTCTGCTTGTCTGGTTGTATTTGCTGTTTGCCTCTGCTGCTGTGGCTTAACTTGCATTTAAAGGTCATCTCTGCAGTCGTGTTACAATGGCATTGAACTAGAACGCTGGGCGTGCCAAGAGGTGGGCGTAGGCGTATCACCTTTGCAATTGCGAGTCTTGCAAGTCGGAAATATAAGTGCCTGAGCTTTCGACTACAAATATATGCACATATAATATGATTAAGCTGCGTTGCGTCATTATCTAAATGGAAGGGAAAATGTTTATGTTTATTGTTATTTATGCATATACAGATATACAGAACTTTGCAAAAGCTTGCAAAATTACTGTTGATGTGTAAACTTAACTTTTACAGATAAAAACAATGAGCTTTAAAAATAGCAAATAAAAGGAAAACAGGCAGCTGCTAAAATTGTGATACGCTGGGAGGGAGTACACACATACATACATATGCAATCATGTAGAGCATTGGGCAGTCAGCTAGAGCCGTTCTCAGTAGATTTTTGCGTCACTTTATCGCCTGAAGAAACGGAAATAAATTGACATACATGAAAGAGAGACTCTGTGGTGTATCCATATGCCTATCAAAGTAAACCCTTTGTTTGTGTGGCGGGTGCAAATGTTTCAGCGAGAGAGTCTTTACAAATCCATGTAACTTGCTAAAGTCACGCCCACAAACAAAGGCAGCCCCCATCTGTCAAGCGACTCAGCAGTCGGTCAACGCAATTTCTGGTTATTTGATTATCAGTTGACGACTGTGCAAATATTTATATTATTCATCAATATGACTCACACTCGGAGCTCTGTCCGAAAACTAAGAGGGCCGACGCCGATACAATACAATAAAACACAAAGCACTCGGCTAAAATATCGTTATTCATTGAAACATGATAATTATATTAAAAGTTGACTGTTGATTCTATTTGAAAATGGCTGCGTCGAGGCCTGAATAGAAAGCGCTGTCGTGATAAACCTACCTATTTTAATGTATACATGTATAAATATATACACATACATATATTTCTTAATTGAATTATACGCTTAGTATATATGAAAGGTAAAGCCGCTCAAAGGGTATGAGATGCATATTTTGGGTACATATATTGTATATATTAATGATTTATATATATATGGTATATATTACGTTTTACTGTATAGCTTTTATCAATTAAATTTGTAAAGCTAATTGAATTTGGGAAATCTAAAGAGGCTGTAGAGCCTGAGATTTGAAAGTTCGCTTATTTATACTTATACTTATACTTTTACTTTTGTTTTTTAATATTTTTAAAATTATTTATTACAAAAATACTCCCCACATATCTCAATAAATCGGCTTCAACTAAGCTAAAGTTGAACAAGTCTGACATATTTTCCTCAACTTGTGGCTTAAAAACTTTGCCTAAGTTTAACGACCTGATAAACGCGTATCGTCGACTCGCCCTTCATATAATACGAATTAAGCAAGCAGCATATTGACACAGTGATAAAAGATCTTAAAGAGACAATGACATGCAGCTTTCTTGACGCACACTTTTCATTTCATCTCTTGCAGTTTACACGCAGTCGCTGTCGATGAGCTTGAAAGATGCCCAGTTTTCCGAGCAGGAAAAGCCGTTGACATCGAGCAGCAGCAGCTCGACTTCTACAACTTCCACCACGACCAGCACGACTATGCCGCCCCCAACAAGCAGCTCGAGCAGCACTTCAACAACATCCACAACAACAACAACGACAACGACAACCACAACTACTGTCGCCCCAACCACCAGCACCTCTGTGGCACCGAGTACCTCGACACCAGCACCCGTGACAACCACTACGCGCAAGCCTCAGCCTCAGCCATATCCAGATCCAACTGTGGGCTCATGGAACTGCTCCTGCATCATGCTCACCATGGCAGCTCAGCTCAACTTTACCTACGAGACTAAGAGTGAGTTCGACCCCCTCTCTCCCTCTCGCAGTTCTCCCATCAGACTTATTAACTGCTTCATCTCTATTGCAGGCGGCAACATGACCAACGGCTTGTTCAATGTGCCCAGCAACGCTAAATTGGATCATTGCTTGTGCGACAACCCGAACACGCAGTTCATGCAACTGAATTGGGGTCCACTTGACGGACAGCAATCGTTGGTGCTGCAGCTGGAGAACAAGAATAAATCTGTCTCACTTACCTTAATCAAAGTGGTACTGCCACTATCCGCTGCTGACTTCCCCGATGCTAAGGGTAAGTGTTTTGCGTATGAATCCCTTGCGGCAGTCTCTTGGCAAAGTACTTGGCAGTTTCCAGCATGTAGTATGCTTTAAAAAGGTTAAATGTGTGTAGGAATCTATCTATTTAGAAAGAAGGATAATACTCTAATAGAGATTCATCATTTGTGTAGAATGGAAATCAAATGTGCCCAGAGCAGCCGCAAATTATTCTAATTTGTATTATTCTTTGATCTAAGTATTATTATCTTGATATTGTAATGCAGAGAATCAGACGGTCCAGTTGATACACCAGAGCCCGAACACGGACTTCAAGACTCCCGAGAATATGTCGTACCATTGCACACGTGTCCAAAAGTTTAACATGACGGAGACAATCGATGCCAACAACACCATTGGCACGATCAGCGTTAGCCATGTCCAGGTGGAGGGATTCCGCAGTTCCAATGCCACTGGTTTCTCCACGGTGCACGATTGCGACAGCTCGCAGACCTCCGATGTGGTGCCCATCGCTGTGGGCATTGCCCTTGCTGCTCTCATTATTGTGGTTCTCGTCTCGTATCTATGTGCGCGTCGTCGTTCCATCTCTCGCGGCTACATGAGCTTCTAAACTGAAGCAAATCAAGTTAGCGATAGAGAAAGCGAGTACAGCTGAGGGTCAAAGAGAGGGAGAGAGAGAGAGGGAAGAAATATGCTTACGTATATGTTTACACATGAATAGTGTCCAGGCAGTTGCAGCAGTTGTTGTAAGTGAGCGAGGGTTAGTTAGTGCGTTATAATCAAGAGAGAGTTGTAAGATTGATTTTCTAATTGGCTGTAGAGTGAGAGGAAACAAAAGGACACTGTACGAGGGAAAGAAAGAGAGGAAAAATCAGGCTGCAAATATTAGAAATTTTGTAAATTTGTCTAGCGATTCATATAATTTTATCTTTGATTTTGTTTTGTTTAAATATTTATTGTCTAAATTTAAAAGGGAAATATCTAATTCTAAAACCAACAATTCTGTGTGTACATGTGAGCGAGGGAGGCATTCTTAAACTTATCCGTAATCGTATCAAATTATCAAATTGAATACTTTAAGCACTTTTTCTACAAAACAAGCAACAATTTAAAGTCCCACAATATGCGTATTCAAACGATACACAAAACCAAAAGTAAATAGAACACACATAAATGTATTACTCAATTAAACGTCGAAAGGTGAGAAAAACGCGTGCGAGCAGAGTGAGAGCGAGAGAGAGAGAGAGAGTGGGAGAGGGGGCAATTAAGAAATACTACACTGCGGCAAGTAACGGTTATTACGTAAATGACAACAACAAACAGCGAAAAGCAGAACACGAAATATTTTAAAAATACCAATATATTGATTTTAAATTATAACCGTTAATAAACATCAACAATTAATGTATTATTTGCCGATTTGAAGCGTAATAAACGATAAACCAAAATAAGAGTCTGATTGGAATTATAGTAGCAAGCAAGCAGTTCAACGCAGATGGACCCGTTACCGTTTCCGATTGAACTACATGATGCAAGCATTGTTGTAGCACTGCTTACTACATGCCCATAGGCTGCTGAGTTGAACTGCTTGAGTATTGGCGGTAAGTTTGAAATAGGATAATTCCTTAAATTGCAGGACCAATTGAAAATGTAAGAATAACACTCGCAAATATTTAAAAACAAAGTTTATTTACTTATATAAAATAGACAATGTATATGATTTAAATGGGCAACAGGCTGTCCGCATTCATTTCTGCATCATCGTCCGAATCATTGCTCTGCTGTGCGCGGTACATGCCAGTGCGAGGTCGCTCGGCTGGCGGGCCCAAGGGATCCACATACTGCTTCACTGAATACGAGCCGCCGCTTTGAAGGAACTGCTCAGCATTGTAGGCACCCGTTGAATTGGAGGCGAGCGTGGCAGAGATGTCGCTGTTCTCCTGCAAACGCTCCTCATTCGAGGGACGCAAAGCTACAAGGACAGAATAAGAGAAAGAGAGTGAGATAGAGGTAACAGACGGACGTTGTTACTCACCCTTTAGGTTGCTGCTTCTGCTGCTCCGACTGGAGGTAGCCGAGGAGAGGCGCTGCTGTTGGTAACGCTGTTCGTTCTGTCGCTCCTGCTGCTGCTTGTGCAGCCTGGCATATTCCTGGGCATAGCGTTCGTGCAGCTCGGACATACCCAGGGACTTGGTCACCTGCATCAGGGCACGCACACAGGTAAGATTGTCCGGAAAGCGTGCATAGATCTTCTCAAACATGCCCAGATATTGCTTGGGCGGCAAATACGAATTGCGAAAGCAGCTGGCGATGCGCAGCATCAGGTTGGGGTCATTGGGATCGGCGAGCACTGCCCGCTCATAGTAATAGAGCGCCTTCTCCGTGGCCTGCAGCTTGATGTAGTAGGAGCCGATGGAGCTGGCGATGTTGATGTCGCTCATGTTGATGCGATACGCCTCGTTGTAGTATTGATTGGCCTCCTGGTGATCCTGTCGCTGTTCGTACATGCTGCCCACCTTCTCGTACAGTCGCGAATCAATCTCCGCCGCCGAGATGCCCAGCACCTGGAGGTAGGCCTGCAGTGCCCCTGGCGAGGCAGTCGACTTGAAGCCGCCCCCAGCCGTTGCGTTGCTCAGACGTCGCTCCTGCAGCTTGGCCAGCTGGTAGTAGACATGACTGTGTTGCACCGAATGCGGGTGCAAGAGCTGAGCCTTCAGCAGCTCAAACTGCTCCTCGGCCAGTTCGTAATCCTGCTGCTGTATGGCCAACAGGCCCAGATTGTAGTTGGCCTCAAAGCTATTCGGATCCAGTTGCAGTGCCCGTTGCAAGCGCTCGCCAGCCGAGGTGAAATTCTTATTCAGCATATCCACAATGCCTGCATTGACCAGGGCCAAGGCGCTCGTCTGCAGGGCGCCCGGCTCCTGTAGCTGATTGAGGCAGTGCGTGGCCATCTCCAGGTTGCCCAGCTGCGAATCGAATCACAGGTTATTAAACATTCAACAATTCACATTGTGAGCTCACATTAATGTAGATAAAACTCAGATTCGTTAGCGCGCTGGCCGTCATGGAGCTCTCGCTTTTGCGATCGTACATCTGCAGCGTCTCGATGGCCTGGTTGACATCGTTCTGGCGCAAATAGACGAGCGCCTTGTTCAGCTCCAGTTCGTTGGCCAGCCAGGAGAGATTTGAGGTCCTGATGACCTCAATGCACCAGTTGTAGCCTGTGTGTGGAATCGAATATTATTATAGGTTTAAATGGGCCATATAAGTTCTATAAATCCAAGCTCACCATCATTGTAGTTCTCCTCGATGAGCGGCGAAATCAGATCCACAATCATGGTAACGGAACGTTTCTCGGTATTTCGCCTTTGCTTCGTATAAATTGCGAGTTCATCCGTTTTGAGAGCCTGCAGCACATAGCGATTCTTGGCATTTGCCGAGCTCTTCGTTGGATCATTTAGCTGCTCGTAGGAGCTGCCCGCCTCTGCATCAATAATGGCCACCTCGGCTCCGTTATCACCCAGATCCACGCCCGCTTGGCCAGCCTGTTCAGCCTGCTGCTGCAGGCGTATTATATTATTCTCATTTTCCAAATCCCGCTCCGTTTCCACCGGCTGCACATCGCAGAGGCTGCGAAAGCTGCTCTTGATTTTGTCCACATCGCCCATGGCATAGTAGCAGAGCAGCAAATGGATGCCATTGCGTATATCGGCGCGTTCCGACATGATGAACTCAAAACTGGAGGCAGCATCCGCATACTGGCCCAGCCGGACGAACAGCACACCGATGTTCTCGGTGATCTTCAGGCGCAGCTGCTTCAACGTATTGGGCACCGAGTCCAATGCCATGCGATACATCTTGATGGCCTTCTTGTGCATGCCCATCTTGAAGTAGATGTTGCCCATGTTCAGCTTCAGCTGATTCACATGCGGAAACATTTTGTTCTTGGTCATAATATTGTAGGTATTCAGCGCCTCAATGTGCATGTCATTGTTCTCGTATTGCTCGGCCAGATTGAAGAATACCTGAAAGGAATGGATAAAGAAACCCCACTGTAATATTGAGAGGAGCTTTAGGGAATGCTGCACTGCTTACCGCATATGTCAAATCAAAGTTGTGAAAAACATTCTCGCCCTGTTTGTCCTGCTCGTGATGCAGTATGCGATCCAATGAGGATGCGTCCTTCGCCTTGTTGAGCGCCTCGGCCAGCGCGGATTTCACTTCGGCATTGTTGGTGCCAGTTGAACGATTCGATGAGGTTTGAGCTGCCAGCACAATGGACGATTCCAGTAGCTTAACAATCTTTATCTCCATATTCTTGTACTTGATCTGCGGACTGAACAAAAATATAGTAATAAATTTGTTAAACCGCTTAGCGGAGCTTGGCTCTACTCACTTGACCTCCTTGGCCGCATCGACGGATGCATTGGCCGAGGACAGCGTCTGCTGTTTGACCTTCTCCAAAAAGAACTGATCGAATCGCTGACCCGCCGAGCCGCTGGCGTTAGCTGCATAACCCACCGCACGCACCGCTGTCGAGGGTCGAGCCAGCGCTGTCTTGTCGCCAGCATTGCGACTGCTAACCAGGTTACCGCGCTGCAAATGGAAATCAAAATATAGTGAAAATATAATATATTAATTCAGTCAATCTACCGAAAAGAGCTGTGAAGTGGGCGGACGGCCAGCAGCTGTGGGAGGAGGCGGCGGCGCTGTCGCTGCTGTATCCACATTTTCCGCTGATTTCTTGGCACTCATTTTGCTCTATTCTATATTCAATTATAAATCCAAATTAATATAGCGAAAATTCTACATAAATAACTTTTGTTGTGGCCCAGGCGTTGCCTAGGTAAAGCTTGCGCCGGTTTGCTGTTAAAGTAGTCGTTGTTAGGGAAAAGGTTTTATACGATATGTATAATTGGCCTATCAGTCGATTTTTTTTAGTTAATATCTATATAGTCCAACAAATTGTGTAATGGTTATACAAATTCCTTTTTTCTGTGTACGCTTTACCCGACAAGCAGTGCGGGCCATTATATTCAAATATTCTGTTATTCCTCCTGCTGTTGAACATTCACTGCTTCTGTTAACTCCTCCTGTTAAATATAAAATATTCTGGCTACTCCTCCTGTTACATGTTCAAATAGTATGAAATAACAGAACAAAGACTGGAAACAACTTGTAGATTCCCAAATCACATAGATTAGCATGATTCGGCTGAGTAGTCAAGATATGCAGCTCATATGCTCCACCTCTAATAAAAGTTTAAATGTGTAGGCACAAATACGAGCATTTTACCTAGTAACAATATAACTAATATAACATACATAGTAGCTATTGAAACGTTTGCTAATTATAGACTTTGATCTTTCGACGATTTCGTCATGAATCCGGAGTGTGAGGCAGACATCTATAGTCCGGAGTGCCAGGAATGGATGAGCCTAGTGTGCGACCGTTGCAGGGATCTGTTTGCCGAAGCAGCCACGGACATCTGGGCCGCCTGGTGGCACGATACCACAGCGCCGTTGTACAAGGAGGTGGCCGATATGACCGTCTATGACTGCGAGAAGCTAAGGCATTTGCTTGAGGTCCAAGTGGCCGCTATCAGTCCACATAAAATTGCAGTGGAGTACAAGGAGTTTGCGTGGTGGCAAAAGATCGCCCTGATCATCATCTATATTTCCATTCTGGTGCTGTTACTCGTTGTGTGCCGCCGTTGGCGTAAGACCTGCACAGCTGACAACCGGCCACCCATTCACAACGAGCAAGAAGATCTGCAGCTAATCCCAGCCACATCGAAACCGGATCAGCCAGCAGGGCATTGCAAACCGGACGAGACCGGAGCAATACCTAAGGACTGTCCCAAGCCACAAAAGAAGCAGGGCTTCAAGGCATGGATGCATCAAATGTGCCGCCCGATTTTCGTTCACAATGAAGGTGCGCTAAAACGCCGACAGAAGAAGTACGAGGAGGATAGGAAGCTCGAGCGCATCCTCAACGAACGGAACATCAAGAAGTGGACCAAGACTCGCGTCAAGGCTGAACGTAAGCGCGAAATTGAAAAGGAGTCCATGGAAATGAAGGAATTTAAGCATACAACTAGAAAATAATGTCCTTAAACATTGAAAACAAAGTCCTTGCTATCCCATATTTATATACATATATTATCATTGATGAAAAGTATAAAATAAATAAATTAATCTCAAATAATAACTTACAATATTAAACCGAGACTTTATTCTCTAATTTCACAACCTTTGCAGATTTTTCGGTATTTCAGATGAAAATACTCATGTTTAGTGAATAAAAATTGAGACAAGTAGGTCGGAATGTGTTTTGTAACACCCTATAGCAGCATTTTATAGCAGTATAATTCGGAATTTAGTCCAGTAGTTGTCCTAGTAGCTTTTGAAAAATGTGCTCTCGATAAAGTGTGTGTCCGATCTTTCGATGCATTAAACATGAATCCCGATTGCCAGGGCAACTGCCCGGCATGCCACCAATGGATGGGCCAGATGTGTGCCCACTGCAGGGATCTGGTCGTGAAAACGGTCAACGATGTCTGGGCCACCTGGTGCGCCGAAGTGGCTCCATCATTGTACAAGAATCTTATCGAGATGCCCATCCTGGACTCGGACAGAATTTGCGAGCTGCTGCAGCTGGAGGAGGACGTTGATGATGATGAGTTTGACGAGTTGCCACTGCAATATGAGGACTTATCGTGCTGGCAAACGGTGGTCCTGGTGTTAATTTATGTTGTTGTTCTTGTGCTTCTGGCTGTGTTGTGTCGCTGTTGGAGAGGCCAACACCATGTGGAAATGCAGACCGATGACACAGAGATCGTGGAACGGCGGCAGGATGAATCGATAATATCGGAACAATCTCAGAGAGAATCATCAATATTGGAGCTACCCTCGATAACGGAAGAGGAGCCAGCTAAATCGAAGCGAGCAAAGAAATCGAAAAAATTGTGCAAATGCTTAAAAAAGAAATCGCAACCAACGCCGGAGAAATCATCCAAATATGAGGCACCATCCAAATCAAAGGCAACAGCTGGCCCAATTGTATGGGGTGAATCAACAACTCAAACTGTGGAAGTATCAGAAAAAACTATTTCCGGATCGAGCAAATCGAGGCGACCAACAGGATATCCCAGAGGCGATGAAGTGCCAAACGACGAGTCTCCACCATTATCGGAGAAACCATCGAAAGCAGCGCAGCCGGTATCAATATTTTATACCCCAACAATATCGGAACCACCGATGAAGACAACGGAACCGGAATTTAAGGGCCGAGCAAGAATCAGTGATCAATCACCAACGACGGTGTCCCCAGCACAATCGGAGCGAAGGATAGATACAGAGGAGCCTACGCCACACGTAAGAGTATCTTATCAAGAGCCAGACTCGGAGCGACCATCTAAGTCGGAGCAACCGTCAAAGCCTGGGGAACACGCCGCTTCAGATAACTTAGAGCCGCCTAAACAGAAATCCAGCAAAATCAAAGCCTGGCTAAGATATAAAGTTCGTCCGATCTTTGTGCACAATCAGGATGCTCTCCGACGCCAACAGAATAAGTACAAGGAGAACGAGAGATTCAAGCAGCTCAACACCGAGAGAAACATTGACAAATGGACGAAGGCACGGGAAAAAGTGGAAAGAAAACGGCAAATTGAAAGAGAGAGCACTGAAAGCAAAGACGAAAAAGTTGGACTAACTTGGGGAAGGTTAAAGAATGTCAACATAATTGCCCAATAATTAGTACTAATATATTTATTATTTAATTATAGTGTTTCTTCAGATAGAGAAAGTGAAGTACTGCCAAATACTTTGAGATTACCTAGGAGATAGAGTATATACATACATACATACATATGTATACTTATGTACATATGTAGGTATTATTTTTGGATAACTTTGACTGCAATCGAATGCAAGTGGAATGCAAGACATAAATCAATTGGATTTCATACCTGAAATATATGAAGATCTATAATAATGTTTTGCTTTTATATATTCACTATGTAAATTTGGTCAATTGTATTTTTAGTGACAAATTCAAAATAGATAGTAGTAACAGAAAGCTAACTGTACTTTATTGCCGCATTCATTTTAACAGCTGATTGTCCAGTGTTGCAAAACACGGCACACAATTCAAATGTGCGCTTTCGATAAATTTCAATTTCAATTGTGGCGTTGAGTTGAGTGCGTGAGCTGACTTTTATAATAAATAAATTTGGTGACAAACACAGTATAGATCAATTTATATTAATTACATAGTGTACATTTAGTGAATTTAAATAATTGTACATAAAGATATGTACATGTAGCAGCAAGTGGTCTAACGACGGATTGTAACTACAATTTGCGGTTAGGAGAGACTTTCTTTGCGCGTTAGTTAATTTAATTGATATGCAATTATATTTAAGTAAATAAATACTCACTTTAATTCTGCTCAACGGAAATCTTCTGCTGAAACCATTTCTTGGGCTGCAATAGTTGAGATGCCTCCATAATATTTCGAGTAAACTCTAGCTGTAGCACGTGCTCCTTGTAAGACATAACCTAAAATATGAAATGTTTCAATTATACATATGTATTTACAAAGTAGTGAAAAGAATAACCAAATCACATAAAGTGCGTGCTTAAAATATAAACAATTTAAATGAGAATAAATTAACAAAATGTAATGATTATTTAAATTGCGATAATCGGGCTAGTTATATAGTAGCGTTATATAGATCCGCTACTATATACACTAGCCAGATCATCGAGTTAAATATAAAACATATACACAGTCTAATGCATGATAATTGGAGAAAAGCTTAACAAATCACAATTAACAATATAAAAAAAAAACAAGTAAGAAAGCTCTAGTCGAGACTGCTCGACTACGAGATCCC